GCATTTCGACAAGTTGATTCATGCCATCGTTCTTAATTTGTTCACATTTACTGGTTGTACTTATTTAATATACCTTAAGCTCAAAACATGTAAAAATATTTCAAAGAAACGTCATCTTCAGAAATAATAATTCTTTCCATCAGTAATGAAAACTTCTCCTTCCTGGCTATTCTCCTCCATCGCTGTTTTTGTGAACCATCTTCTAAGGTTCTCAAGATCAAGGAAACATTCCTCAAGTTCCATTCCTACAAGTTTTTTCGTTTTTTTTTTTTTAATTTTCAATTTTTATTTTTAATAAACATCCTCTCAGGTTATTTTTTTATTTTTTTTTTTTTTTGGGTCCTCCCCTTCCTCGCCTTTAAGGCTATACGGGGTTTTCCCGGGCCAGGAAGTGTGGGCGGGGATTTAAAAGACTCCCCTGGCACCGGGACGCGAACTCGTGACTATTTAAATCTTATCATTAATAATTATCTCATAGATCAGGTTGCCGGGCAACGGCTCACGTTAGCCCGTTCGGCCACCTCGCCCACAAAACATCCTCTCAGGTAAAATTTCATTTCAAAAAATCGACATCTCTCGGGTTTAGAATAGATACTTTGGTAACTCTAAAAGGTGGAATTTTTGGTTTTCCTATAACTCTCAAACCTCAGCACATTACTTCTGTTGAAAATGATAAAGTGAAATATGAGTTCTTGTTTTAATTGACTTCTGTCCCCTGGTTTTCATCATTTAGTTGTGGTAATTATTATTTTGCCACTTTTATCAGAAATTTAACGCTCTATATCGAAGAAACAAGATCCTCATTCGCCATGTCCCCCCTATTTGTTGTCTAATTGTCAGTCATATTTTTGTTGGAATTTGCAATTACCTTGTTTCTCTCTCTCCTTGCCCTGGGACCTAAAGAAAGAAGATCGCTCCATAATTTATATTGCAATTATATTTCATCAATGTCTGTTAATACCTATATGTACAACATCTACAAAGACAACGATGCAGGGAAAAAATCACCTAATGCACAGATGGGAAAGCTTTTTAACGGTAGATCCTGCTGTATATGGCTGTATGGCTGTAATATTTGTTTATATATATATATATATATATATATATATATATATATATATATATATATATATATATATATATATATATATTTTACTGTTATTATTATTATTTATAAGTATTAATTAATTTAATTTTAGCGCTGGAATAATGAACATTACCCAAAAGGAAATAGATGCCGCAGCTAGCTCACGGCCTCGAGGTTGACCTAGTGCATGTTAAGCGTTAAGCGGACCTCACATAATCAGTCATGAATGACAGTCTCAAGACTGACATGGATTGCTTAAATCATATTGAATCCTACACGTATCGATCAGACTGACGCCATATTGACGTTGAGATAACAGGCAGTATGGATCTGGTGCACTGTCCATTAATAATAATGTTTTTCATTAAAATATCTTGTTTTGCTAATGTTTTTTATAGAATTGGGCATCTAGAGAAGTGGAGATATTATAATTACTTCCAAGTACTGAAAACCAAAAATAATAAATTTGTTGAGGAAGAAGGAAAAAGAACTGAAAAATGTACACACAGTTAAAGATTAATTTTTTCTATGAGTAAATTGTGCAGTTTTACATTTTTTTAATTTATTGACCACTTGACTATTTAAAAAATAAAATCATTTGAAGATCGTTTATAAAAATAAAAACTAGGGATATGAAAAACTATTGATTTTAAATGAAAATTAGAAATGTATAATGGTTATGAGGCCTAGGTAAAATACTTAGTCGTATGATTTTTCTCTCTTCGACTTTTACCTCAGTTTTCCCTCCACTTCTCGTGATTGAAGGTTCATGATTTCCGTCTTTAACCTTAAACGATCAAAACTGATGGAAAGTAGAAAGAAATGTCCTAAAGTCTCCTTAGGGGTTTTCACGAAATAAAAGCTGGTGAATTGGGTTCACCTTGGCTTTCGACGCCATTAAGTTAGATTTCTACAAAACGTGTAGCTACGAAAATCTTAAAATATTTTTCTGTCTCAAAACTCTATAGATTAAATCGATCATAGTTTGTGGGAATATTTGTTATTTGAAATAAATTGTCAAAAAATAAAAATAAATAACTGATCTAGAACAGAATTTTTTAAAAAAATTCCACACCGAAGTTGTTGTTGAAGATAAATTTCCAAGGAAGAACTTTGCAACATGGTATAGCAATGGTGTTAATCGAAATTCAAACTAGGCCACCACCTGCAATTGTATCATTATTATACAGGCTGAGACATAACAACCGTAGGGACGACAATCTTGGAATATTGGATGGAAGGAGAGGATTGGAGGATTATCTGAGATTGGCCAGGAAATAGGAGATTGGGTGAGAGGATTGCTCCATGGATGGCCACTATTTGCTATGATTGTGCTAACTGGACTCTTGCTCCAGATGCCATTGCCATTCCGATCCCGCGCCCATCGCGTTCCTATCGGCTTCTTGTAATATTAAGTTGTTGCTAACTTTTATTCCTTTGGATAGTTTATGATCAACACTGTGATGCTCTTAATGATTAATTATTAATAGTTTTAGTTAATCTATGGAATTGATACTTCATATGTGATAGGGATTTTGCTGTAATATTTGTTTTAAATTCTAAAACATCAACATCTAGCAAAATAAATAGAGCGAGAAAAAGGTTGAGCCAAAAGAAATATTACTGTTGTAATTACATTAAGCGACTATTAGAAGATATAAAGAAGTCCTTTAATGATTACGATGTGGTAGGTTATGCCTTAAGTTTTAGACCAAAGAATAAAATTCAAAATTATTGTAGTATTTTAAAAGATGAAATAGAAAAGAAATAGTATAGCAAGCAGGATTGGTCTATAAGGTCCCGTGTTTCAATTGTCCAGGAATACACATAGGGGAACCCAGATATCAATTATAAACTAAGATATCATTATATCAATGATAAACTGACGAAGAACATGAAAAAATACCAGAAAAAGACAGCATTGGTGCAACATGCTTTTAGTAAGATGTATAATTTTGACAATTTTTATATAGTTTTGTAGGGAATTTTGTTACATTTCAACTAAACACCGCTTGTCGGAAATTAGAACCGAACGCAATACTTTCCTTACCTAGTTTATGTAGGAAATTAAAACATGTGTAGAAAGTAGAACACCCTGTATCATCGCTAATACTGGTTCAATTCTGATGATATATTTTTTTTTTTTTTTATAGACAATTTAATTACCTTTCAAAAGTTTTCATATAAATTTTACCGTAAAAAAAGAAATAGTTATTATTAATAAAAAAAAGTATTTTCTCGAGAATTTAGTACATGTACAAAAATCGGTACATCTACAATTTAGTACTTTAATTAGAAAATTATAGCAAAGTTTCATCAAAATTGTCAGAACCGTTTTAGCGCCACAGTCTAGAGAAAAATAAGTTTTTCACTTATTGCGCAGCCGCTATTGCGTATAGAGGACCTAATGTGTGTCACAGGCATCAGCAGTCAAAACCCTACAAAATAAAAAAAGAAGCAACAAAATAGGTTCACTAATTTTCGAGATAATCTTGGCACCGAAAGAGAGAGACAGACCAATTGCTGAAGATGTGTTTTGCGGACTCAGTAGGATCTGATCCGTCGAAAACCGCATGTCGGAAATTTGACCCGATAGCAATACTTCGCAATGAATCTTGATACTCCCACTCTGGTAGATGTGCGGCGACAACTACAAGTTAGCCTTTGTCAGTCAGGGATTGGGAAAAAGGACCATAAAGCCCACTTGCTGAACTAATTCCTCTAACCAGTACCGGTACCAGTAGTTGGAGGTTTCAGTCACAGCCAAAAATGAAATGAAACATTTTATTTTACGCCAAATTTTCGGCCTAAGTTTCACGTTTTCTTCAGGGCTGCTTGTTGGGAGGTTGCTAAGTCAGTACAGTACCACATGAAGTCCTGAAATTTATTTTTATTTTATTTATTTATATTTTATACTATTTGCACCTGCGCGGCTGCGCATCTAGCAAATTTGTTGTGTTTGTATTGTCTTCATGGTTTTTATTGGTATATTAGTTTTCTTGGCAATTTTCTTTTTAATTTGCGTTGTTCAGGTAACAGGGAACAGGTGATAGAAAGAACCAGAGGATTGGAGTGATTTTGGGTTGAAGAATGAAATGTAGTGTATTTGTCGTGGATGTAGGATTTTACTGTTAGGTTGTTTAAGTCGTTATGTATAGTAGTATTACTACTGAATGTACCAACAACAATGCGTCAAAAAAATTTCATAAAATTTTTTATTGTGCTGTTCGTATTTTGTTTATGTGTGTTTGTTTTGCTGAACCCCAAAGTTCTGCTTCATATGTCCATATTGGTCTCGGTAAGGTTTTGTAGATTAGTCGCTTGTTTCGTAAGTTAAGTAAAGATCTGTAGTCTAGAAGATGGGAAAGTTGGCTCTATCGTCTAGTAAGTTCTTGTCTTTTTGATTTCGTATGTATGTTCCAAGTAAGTCTTTTGTCTAAGTAGAGTCCAAGGTACCGTACATAGTTCTTTGAAGGCACTGGATTATTGGTAATGGTTATGGATGGACATGAGGCTTTCCTAAGAGAGAAACTAACGTGGGTGGATTTTTTACTATTAATTTTGATTCCCCAGTTTTGAAGATCATGAAGATGGTTTTGTAGGGCAATTGATGCGATTGTAGGATTTTTGTGTGAAGTTAGTCCTGAAATTTAGACCGAAAAGTTAACATCAAATAATTTATTTTTTCTGACTTCAATACCACAATTAACTTTCGAACTATAAAACCTTCATTTCTCAGATTAAATAAATAACAGTCTGATAAGCAAATCTAAAAAGCATAAGTGACCTCACTCAATTCAATGGTTAATAATATTATTAAGTTTTAATTCTTAAGTTTTTTCTTAAGCATAAGCCTCTGAAAAATAGTCCTTGAGGAGCAGTAACCCGGTCAAGATATAAGCGAAGGACAAACTCCAAGGACATAGATCCGGGACGATGGGCACCCGGGGAGACCCCATGGCGGCGGATTTATACTCCCTGGTGGATAACCGATTTTCCTCCCGGTAAATAAACTCGTTGGTGTAATCCTCTCAGGGCGAGAGTGGTAAGCCGCTGCTCCCATACTGCTCGCTCCGACCGTATCATTCCATATCAATGTTCCTCTTTCAGTTTGAATTTCATTCATTTTACGCCTTGATGAATAGGTATGGTTTTTACACTGATGTGATTTATTTAAATGTTTTAATTTATTTTACTTAATTTGTTTTATGTTTATCCTAGGAAGAAATATATATATATATATATATATATATATATATATATATATATATATATATATATTAAAAAAAATGCATTTCATTCTGGGATGAAATTCCCTTAGAATGACTATATAGAAATATAAATATCATTAGTGAGCAAAGAGACAGTAAATAAAAATATGAACAGATCCACAAAAGACGTATAAAAACAATGATGTATAGTAAAACAATATCGTTGTTGTTATTAAGGACTCAAATGCGTAAAACCCTAAAGTCATCAACGCCTAATAGTAAAACAATATATTCTCTTCTAAAAGAAAAAATGACTAAAAGACAATAAATTTTAATATATATATATATATATATATATATATATATATATATATATATATATTATATATATATATATATATATATATATATATATATATTGAAACTTAACTATTTAATTGGGAATAAGGTCACTCATTAATTATTCAATAAACTATTGAATGTTCATTTCTTCTGTTTATTGACGTTTCGATTCCGGTATTTTTTTTTTATTAGTCAACCATGGGATTCTCTTCAAAGCTAGAATTTTAAAAAATATAGCTTCGATCAGGCCAGGGGCACACCGACAGTCTCAGCACCGTCCACTAGCACATATATTAAGCTACTTACTATAATATATAATACTACTGCAGTATTATTATATATTATATTATAGTACTTACTATAATATATAATACTACTACAGTAGCTTAATATATGTGCTAGTGGACGGTGCTGAGACTGTCGGTGTGTCCCTGGCCTGATCGAAGCTCTATTTTTAAAAATTATAGCTTTGAAGAGGATCCCATGGTTGACTAATAAAAAGAAAATACCGGGATCGAAACGTCAATAAACAGAAGAAATGAACATTCAATAGTTTATTGAATAATTAATGAGTGATCTTATTCCCAATTAAATAGTTAAGTTTAAATTTAATACTCAAAGGTCGATTAAGGAAAAGTTGTATATATATATATATATAATAAATAGATCAAATGAATATCTGTAGCAAGTGTCAAACAATATGTTGTCATTTAACTCTTGATGATTCTTTTCCGTAAATCAATTTGACATTCTTAACTAAAATCATCAGAAACAGTTTGATTTGAACCTATAAAACAAAAATTGACTTTTTCTTCACTTTTTAAAAATGGCAGACGTCGATCTATATAATATAAGTTTTGTCTATTGTTTTCTGTTTTTTATTTACTTTTTATCCCAATTGCTTGTTCTTAGAGTTGGTACTGTTCAAGAGAACGTGATGACCGAGTGGTTGGGGCGGGGATCCAGAGTGCCCGGTTCTGAACGTTAAGATTTCGAATAATTCGATAGGAGAATCAATGTCAAAAATGACGAATAATTATCGACTCGGAACCACGCTACTATGAGTTGTCTCTTTACCTAAGTCGCTTTGTTGTAGCGTAGTGATATTCTCCCTCCGATTCTCCATACTCGGCCAATTCCGTGCCGGGAAGGAGCTGGAAGAGGAGCGGCCGGCAGAGTGTAAAGATAAAGATAAAGAGCGGTTATGGCGGTAGGGAGGCCTAATGAGCCGACACAACAGGCCGTGGGGACAATAGGACCGCTGGACAAAAGAGCAGATATCATCCCGCTCCTGGGGAATCGATTGCCCCGTGCTCTGTCCTCTACTGCCCCTCCATACTGCGCTATACTTCCTCCTTCCTCCTACCTATGGTAAATGTTTATTTTTGCATCCATATTATATTATTAAGAATGAAATTACATTTCCTCATTTAATATTGGTTTCTGTTTTCCAGGATGAAATAAAATGGGTTTATTATATACATACAATTTATTTTAATCTAGCAGATCAAATAATGGCAATTTAAACAAATTTCTATGTTGATGTTTATATCACTAATCCCTCCTTTACAGTTAAATAGTGTTTACACATTTTTTTTATTATAAATTTGATAATATTCTAGTTATCGTATGATGGAGAAAGTTAGTTATTTCATGCTGAAGTTTCAATTAAAATGGATCTCCACATAAAACTCTTACGCCATGTTATGGTTTGGGGATCCGAGAAAGAAGAAAACGCTGCTTCAATTTACCGTAAACTTGCAAAAATATATTGAGAAAGCATCATTAGTGGACGGAAAGTATAGAGGTAGTTTTAAAAGTTTCAACCGGGAAGTCGCGAACTTGAGCCTCGGTCAAGTCCACTAATAGAGCTTGTCGACGAACTCCTGCAGACGACTGTCGAAGAAAATTCTGTTGTAACAGTTGAATAATTAGCAAAAAAAAACTTAGAGGCCGTCATTCTACTGTCCACCATTATTTACATCTCGTAGGGAAAAACGTCCCTGACCTATCAACACTCCTTTTATTCTACCAAGACGATGAGAGACCCCATGTTGCCTGACAAACATTACAAAAATTTAAGGACTTTCGATTTGAAATTATGCCTCACCATAATCTCCTTGCGCCTTCGGATTATCACATTTTTCGCAGTCTCCGGAACCCATTAAGCGACAGAAACATGATTTTTTCTATTCATGTTTATGTTTATTAAATACCAAAGAATGTTTTAAAAAAAGACATACAAAATTTGTTTTCAAGATTACAAACAGTTACAGAACAAGATGGTAAATACATTTTAGGTTGTATATGTTTCATTTATTTCATCTGGTCTTTATATCATGTAATTAAATACCAATATTACTAATGGGTACTAGGTAGAATGTACTTTCACCATCATTTAGGACGTCTATGGTTTATTTCCAAAAATTCATCTAAATGGTTTTTTTATACCCGGCTTAATTTGGAATTGCTTTCTATTCAAAGAGTTCTGCAAACAACGGAATAAGTGACCATTCCTCAGAGCTAGGTTTAATGAACGGGAAAGGCGCGGTCAAAAGTACCATCCAAGCAAACGGAATGTTTATAGAATAGTTCGGTTAGAAAGTGAGAGAGAAAATTGAAAACCTTCACAAAATACTAATATGAAACACAGGAGACGGCCACATAAAACGTTTCTGAAATAAGTGCTCAAATCATTCGATTTATTTCATAAACGAACTATTTAGCAGTAGAGAGCACGAGGAACTCCATCAAAATATACAATATACAACCCTTCGTGAAATCCCAAAACATCTTTATTATTATGTGAATATAATTATATATAAATAATTTACAATCATGAATGCTTAGTTGATCGAGGATATCATCTAGTAGAAGATTTGGGTCAGGAAACAAATATATAGTAAAGTATCATACTACTTTGGTAGTTGCTGAAGTTTCGGCTGTAAAGTTGTAGGCCTGCATCAGAACTATGAAAAACAAGGCGGTACCGTAACGAAAACGAATATAATAAATAAAGTTGGGAAGACATGAAACAGTAAAATAGTACACATAACATCAAAATTCATAATAACTTGACCTACTTAAAAATATGGAGATTATTTATACCAAGAGAATATAAAACAGAATATCAAATGTAACAATAACCTTAAGTTCGCATAAAGTAGATAAAAACAGAGATATAAAAGAAAAGGGGGTTTATATTATATATCAAATGGGAGCTAATAAAGAAGGAAGAGGGACAAGAAGAATAACTTTAATTATTATCTAATTTAATTAATTACTAGATGTCCTTAATTACTATCTTCACCTACATCAAGGCGGATTTAATGCTCTATATATTGTTTTGTTAGTCAGATCCATAATAGATCTATCCAAAAAAAAATAAAAAGAAGCTGCATATTTAAAAGTTTCTTGAGACTAATAATTCCCAAGGAAAAGAGATTTCCTCACTAACTTACTCCTGCTATTGATAGATATCATATAATTCGATTCTTTTTCTTGTTAAGGGACAGAGTTGTTCCAAAGACGTAAAATTCTTTGGGTTGCTGTATATGTCTCACTTGTGGCAGCCTAAGGCGCTCAAAAACTGTTGAGAAAGAAGAAAAGAATTTCGTTTGATTGATGTCTGCTAAGTTCAGTGGAAGGACGTACCCCTAAGTTTATGGTATTTTTCTTCCCTCTCGTGTGACTCTGTGATTTATATTGCGTATCCAAAAGATTCATAGGTAAGTTGCTTCCTCTGTAAGTGTAATAGTGATTGTGATCTCTTAGTTCTTCAAATTGTATTTGTGATAAAGAAGCTCATGTCACTTAAATTACTTATCTCTTCCTTAGTCATAATGTCTAATAGTGTTCTTTGCATTAGAAATAATTTGCTCGAATCAGCGTGTTTTCACAAATGGTTCTGTGTATTTTTTTTTTTTTCAAATTTTAAATGTCTTGCAATATAATAGTATATATCGTCGGTTTATTGATAAAGTCACCAAGAATATTTTTGAGGGGACTTAACTTTTATGTACGTTTCTGTGAATTTCCAACTTATTTATTGATAAAAAAACAAAGTCACATTTCGATTTATTTTAGGCAATATTTATATTATACGATCATTTAATTTATTTTCATAATTATTAGCTCTGTTCATATGAAAAATGTTTATTTTAATTTATTTAAGCTTTAAAAGAAACATTGGTCGTTCTCAAAGAATATTTAAGCAATATGTTTTTTTTTTTAATGTATGTTTTAAGTGATTCTTATCTTTGATGGAAACCGTTCTAAATTGGACCAGTCTTCTATTTTGAGTTAATGAAATTTAGGATGTGTCAAAATTTCTCCCAGCGTACTTGTAAACTATGCTCCATCAGTCAACATAAGAAAACTAAAGATTTAAATATCAACACAACTTAAATTAAGGGGATTTATCTTATTATTTTTTTTTCGATGTAAGCAACTTTTCTCCTCCTCAATTGTTAAAACTTAGGTGTCTCAAAAAGTCTATAAACTGTGTAAT